CTTGCCTCTCTGAGAGCTGAGAGAGCGTGGTGAATAAGCAATTTCTCCTCTACTCAGCTGATGACGTTACCTATTAGTAATTCTACCATGGGGCAGAATGGTGACGAATGCTAACGGCGAACTCCAATAAAGCAAAGCAGAGACGCCGAGATATTAGTCCATAAACGAAGAATGCAGGCGTCGTATGGAGTGCAAATCAAAACAACCGATCGAATAGCAATAACAATTGTCTAAACAAAAACAAAAACAATGCAATGCAACGCTCCACTGTTAGATATATGTATGTTTGTTCGGGAGCCACAGAAAAATTATAAGTTAATAAATCAATTTAAAACACTGAGTATACGCAAGTTTTATAAAATATGAAGATGTGTGTAACTCAGATACTTGAGACCAAATTACAGTTAATTACAGTTTGTAAGTTTCTTTTTATTTTTGATTAGGCGAAAAATGCGAGAGCGATGCAGAAACACGACCGGCTTGCTTGAGGCTTTGATAGCTGGATGGTCATATGGTCATTGCCTAAGGAATTGCATTTTTACACCCGGAGTAAATAGGGTATATTGTATTTGTGCACAAAGTGGATGTATGTAACAAACAGAAAGAAACGTTTCCGACCCCATAAAGTATATATATTTGTGATCAGCACCAATAGCCAAGTCGATTGAGCCATGTCTGTCTGTCTGTCTGTCCGTCTGTCCGCCCGTCCGTCTGTCCGTCCTGATGAGCGCCTGGATCTCAGAGACTATAAAATTTTGCATCCAGACTTATGTATGCTCACACTGTTACAAGTGTATTTCAAAAATGAGCCACGCCTCCTTCCGCCCCCGCAAAAAGGCGAAAACCTCCCAAATCTACAAATCCCAAATCTTGAAGATAAAAGAAAACTAAAAACGCCATTCCGTAGGAAATGGCAATATCTATCACGAAATTGGGATCCGATCGGATCATTATTATAGCCAGAATGAAGAAATTAATTTGCAGTGGGTAAACCCACCCTATCCCGCAGCTTATATTTGTTTTTTTCACATTCTCTCATTCACACTCTGCTTCTGCTGTGTTCGGCCACTGCCTTTGCCGCGAGTCTGCAGTGTGTGGGTCTAGGGAAGGGGAGCGAGCTAAAGTAGCGTGTTGGTGTGAGAAGTGTTGTAGATGTAGTTGAAGAAAAAATTCAAAATTTGACCAAACACCGCTAAGGTGCAGATGTAGTACTGAGTGCCGGGTATAAAAGTTGTGACGCGTAAAAAGCGTCTCACACTAATTCACGTCTAATTTTCCAAATAAAACCTCTTGACAATCTCTGTTTTGGTTTTTCTTCAATCCAGAGGTACGATGTTTACAAGCTTACTTCGTAGTAGCAGGACAGATCAGGCGAGCCAACGTTGACAGGGAACTCCAGGAATTCTATAATGCAGCTCAGCGTTTGATCTATCATGAGTTCACACGTCAAGATGAAGGAATTCTTCTAGTGGAACGCCGTCTCGAAGATCGGCTCAGATGTCGAGTTTTACATCTGACCCGAAATTGGCAACACGCTGCACCAAGGTTCAGATGCATAAACGAGCTTTGGAGGACACTTTTAGTCAGGTATTGATTTTTTAGTATTAAACGGAAGAAGTTTCATTTGCAATAGAGCAGGGCATAGACGAGGTATCAGAAAGCATTCCCACAGGAATTCCCTTCACTATCAGATAAATGAAGGAAAAAGTGCCAGCGACTTCATTGTGAATAATTAGTTTTGGGTCGTTCATCGAACGAACATAAAATAATCATTCATTTAATCTTAATTTAAATTTTTTATTAGTCGTTTTAGTTGCTTATTTCTTGCTGCTTAGCTATTTTTTGTTCCTTTAAATTTGTTTTGTTAGAAGCTTTCGAGCTGCTTTGGCAAAACTGTAAATTTATGAAGTTACTTTGTAGTACATTTGCATATACATACATATATGTATATAGTACATATACATAATGGTTCAGAATTTTATGTCCCCTTATAAAAAGCTATCATGAAAGATATTATTAAAGATTAACAATCACATTCCGTAGCTCAAAAGCACTCTACTTTTGCGTGGAAACTGATATGTCCTTGTCCCTAGTCCTCTCTCTCTATGAACCTCAGGCAGAAAAGGCTGAATCAAACCCAGATCGCCTTGTACTTGCCGCAAACCCACCAAATCAGAGCAAAGACATCTTTATTCCTTTGAAGACCTTGAACCTGTACCTTAAAGATTACATTCATAATGCATCCAATCCAAAAATAAATAGATTTTATTTATATATAAAAGACGTCAAAAGTTATTAAACAAAAAGCTCGATTGAAAATTGACCATAGAGGACAATATTAAGAAGGCCCCATTTATTTCATGGGGAAGAAGATGGGAGCACTCTCCACTCTCAAACAAAAATATAAACAAAAAATTAGCAACATCCCACGTTTGGACACTGTGTAGTGCTGTCGAGTCTCCCGCAAATACCAGAGAGGACAAATTACTGTATCCCTACTGAAAACCTCCTAACGCCGTTCAAAGCATCCATTATACTTATGAAGGACTGAAGAGGGGAAAGTGCTGTTCATGTATAGACTGATGACCAACGTAGGCGATGGAGTCTAATCTGAGGAGCTAAACATTAGTCAGTGCATGGGGGTTCCGGACCCCTGCAGGTCTCCAGACACATGGATTTTGAAGAAAACGATGGAGAGGACGAACCGGACAGGTAGAATACTATCAATCACAAAGTCATTCACAATGAAGCTTCATACATTTTCAGATCTTGATTTTCTTCTTCGTCATTTTCATCTTATTAATGTCAAAAATCGTCAATATTAGTCAATATACACACCTCATCAGCCACTCCTTGTGCTGAAATCTGCAACTCCTCTAGCTCGGTTTTGGGGACCTGAGGTCCGGGAATTTCTTCTGAAGGATCCGCAGGCATTCTGAAATATACTATTTACCTTTAATAGAAGTTTAAATATATTTTTGGAAAAACCAATTCAAAATAATAAATAAATAAATAAATTATAATCGATGATTAAATATTAAACTGGAGTTAAATTTTGTAATACCAAGTATTCCTGCCAACCTCTTGACACTTGGTGTCCAATATTCTAGCTATTACCATACAACATCGTCTGTTAAATTTCTTTATATCTCTCTTCCGACCAAAAAAATACCATCCGGCCTTGTAAGCTTTTCTTTCTTGCTTCATTTTGAATAAAATAATAATCATATCTGATTCACATTTTGCAGTCGAGCAGCTCAAAGAATTCTTTATGTACATGCGACTGTTACAAAGACTAACTAGTTGAATGTAAATGTATTAAATATATTTTAAATGTCTAGCAACATGAAACTGTAACTGGCATATACAACATACATACATACATAATTATGAACATATGCATTGTTTCGGGTTTTAATAAACACGTGACCTTGTCTTTGATTCGGCGCACGAGCCGACTGGTTGTCTTTTTAATTTAATCAATAGTCCTCACACAAATATATTTTCTCTGATTGTTAACAAATATAAGACCATAAAAATAAATTTTTAGTAACAATATGTATAATTACTTATATATACATTATTCATTATTCATTTGAAGATATGAAGCTATTTACAGAGAAATACTCTGATTGTATAATAAATTTATTACGATCTATTACGCAATTTTGTATATCTCATTTGTCTAAACAATTTATGTTCATACCTGGTTTTGGGTAGGTTTCACAGATATTATTTAATATTAAATGTACACTCCCTCCTTCTAAGAAGTAACCAAATACGGCTGTATGCAACTACCGGACATATAACTAAAGTCTTAGATTCCTCGGTTTCCTTCCTTCAGCTAAAGAGCTTTTGCGTGCGCAGGTCTTTTACGAAATTCTTCAAACAACTTCTCAAAGCTTTTCAAAAAGCGAGGTTCAACAAATAAAATGCGATTTCCTTTTCAAAATTGTAAGGTAATATAACAGAAATATAAAATAAAAATATAAACTCACACAAAATATATTTAAGCGTGTCGTGAATGCTTTTGATAAACAAAAAAGATGGAAAACAAGTCTTTAAAAATTTTTTTTGGCATTTAATAGCAATCCAATTGCAATAGCTAAATATTGGATTCGTCGCGTTTTTGTGTTCGTAAAAACCGCGAGCAAAATGTATCCGCGAACCTACGGGAACTCTCTTTCGAGGTCTTCCTAAAGAATGCAAAAAATCAGCAAATATGAACGGATCTTTCAAAAGCGCATTAGTTATTGGTATAAAGGACAAATATAGCTTTCCATTCTATGTAATGTATTCATTTTTATACCCGGTACTCGAAGAATAAATAGGGTATATTGTATTTGTGGCGAACACCTGATGTATGTAACACAGAGAAGGATATGTTTCCGACTCCATAAGGTAAGTATATTCCTGATCAGCATCAACAGCCAAGTCGATGTAGCCATGTCTGTTTGCCCGTACACCTGTCCGTTTTCTCAGAAACTATAATAGCTAGAGCCACCGAATTTTTCCTCCAGACTTCTGTGATAACCCACTGATACAAGTGTATTTCAAAACTTAAACCCGCCCCCTACCGCCCCTTCAAAGGGTGAAAAGCTCCTACAGCCACAATTTTGAAGATAGAAGAAAACTTCCGTAGGAAGAACTATACCTATCAGATCACCGAATTGGGATCACATTGGATCATTATTATAGCCGGAATGAAGAAATTTATTTGCACTGACTAAACCCACCCTGACCAGCACCTTTTTTTTATTTCTTGCACATTCTCACATTGAAAGGTGAACTAGATGTAGATGACCGATGGAGAAGGTTCAGATGTTGTACTGAGTACCGGGTATAAAAGTTGTGACGCGAGAGAAGCGTCTCACACGTCCCTTCCCGTTTTTATATTAAATCAAGTTCCGGTCGCGAACGTACGATATTTCAAAATTATTACTACTAGTATTCCCTCGCAAATAATTCCCTTCATTTTTGTTTAAAACCCACTAATAACTAAATTTTTTAAGTTGAGTTTATAAGCAGAATATAAAATTTGAATATGAAACATGTATGTATGTATATAATATGATATGACATAATATTATATATTATTAAATTCATTAAATATTTGTTTACACATTTTTAGTTCTTTCCAAAACGTGAAGATTTAAATGATGTGAGAACCTACTCCAGGGTGAAGCTTAACTCAGTCCTGTCCAGGATCGTCTGCAAGATCATTTGTAGATTTGATAGGCTGCAACTCTTAGGGAATTTTGCGGTTGACCCTTGATTTTCTTTTTTTTGGCAGTAAAGAAACTTAGTTATGTTTTAAGTTGAAATTTAACTCCATTTGTTACTATTTCTAGGGGTTTTGAGGTTTAATGACACTAAGGTTTAATAAAATTTAATTTTTCGGCCTATTATGATCTTAAATTTATACTTAGTTGTGTTTTCGCGCGTTTTCGACCGTTCGCGTGTATGTTTGACTCCCGATTTTATTTAACTGCACAGATCTTTGTCGAACTGGCCATATATATGCCGGCCGTCGTCAATTGGTAGCTTACACTAGTGGGTATACTTATAATGGGGGCCGTATTTACTAGTGGGAGTGGGAGTGGGCGCCAGGCGCTCGCGGTACTGCCGCAAAGCATTGCTTCGCATGGACTTAGGGCTAATATAATTTATGTGACGAGCCATGGTAAAATGGTTCGATGCAAGCGGTATTAAAGATTTGTGCTAGAAGTGGATGTGAGTAACGCAAATAAGAAAAAGTTTTCGACCTTATAAAGTATATCATAAGTACATACATATATTCCTGATCAGCATGAATAGTGGCATACAGAGTACAAGGATTCTGAGCAAATGGGAACCTAGACTAGAGGAGAGGTACACGATACCAAGATACCATCAGTGCTCAAGCAACGTTAAGAATTTATAAATTCTAGAGAGAGAGGGAACAGGAGAAGGGTTACAGGAGAGTAGCGGAAAAGTCATCATAGGTAGAAGGAAGAAGAAAAGGAAGAAAGATAATATGAATAGCACGATCCTTAAGGGAACTAAGGATCCTTACAACAAGCTCTCCCCTAGCCCATTCATATTTCCTTCCGAAAGACTCAGGCCGTGTTTCTTCACAAAACAATATTCATTCATTTGAAGTCACGTTGCTGCGTGAATAATAATTAATAATCTTAATCTTCAAAATTCCGTATATGCAAGGGGGTTTTGGGCATTTTTGGTTTAGCTGTCTGAAATGTTTTAGCCGTATCGGAAAATGCCTGACTCATGCAGTGAGCGGCGCTGATGGAGGATCTGTTGGAGAAGGCATGATAAGTGATGTGGCTGTATGTGACAGATGTAGAATAAATGTAAAATGCAAAATGTATCTCGCCAAAGTTACATACATATGAATATACATACATACTCTGATGCAGTACCGGGATTAAAATTGTGATGCGTTGGAAACGTCTCACACGTTCCTCGTCGTTATGCCCGGTTTGTGGGGAAGAGTGGATGTACATATGTAACGCCCCGATGGAAACGTTTCCGACCTCACAAAGTATATATAAATATACCAGACAACTTAGCCTATTAAATACTTTCATCGCTAAGCGAAATGTAGATTTTATTTATCTTTTGTCGAAAGAATCAAGACCCGAGGAAGTTAACAATCAAAACAAGCGCAAGAGGGCTAAACAGAGCATTAATTACAGACGATTTAAAACTGATTAATGCAGTCCCAGGTAAACGGATTATATGGAGATTATATAAGTCCGGACCGGACTTATCCAATAATGCGGTGCCTTCTCCAAGCATTGCTCTCCTCCAAACTCTATATCCACTCTGAAATAACATACTCCGCCAGATTTCATACAAAATTTGAATTTTTAACGGGTTTAATTTTGAAACACACAAAACAGTGTACCCAGAGAGCATGCACTTCGTTTTATACAATTATATATTATATATTATTATATAATTATAATTATATAGCAATATAATTGCTTCATGCTTTGGTCATAATGGGCAATATATGGCACTTTCTGTCTCAAGAATATTTTGGTTGTCTGAGTACTGGGCTTTATACATGTATTTGTACTTAAAAACTTGTATTTATTAGAATCACTTACACAACAACCACAACCTTCCTGGCATCAGTGTTTTCAACACAGATGTCCTCTTTAATGTCTCTTCCTCGTCTTTGTTTTCCTCATCTTCATGATTCATATCCAGCAACATTATTAGCGTATGCAAGAAAATATTATGCTGCTGAATAACACTCACAACCATTTTAAATTCTTAGTATTCACTTTAAAGGGATGTGTGAGACGCTTCTTACGCGTCACAACTTTTATACCCGGTACTTGGTACTACATATGTACCTTAGCGGTTTTTTCAAATTTTAAGTTTTACACTTTTTATACATCTGTCATCTACATCATCACATCTTCCGCAAACACGCTCTTTTAGCTAAAATAGTGACTGTTAGAGTTTTCTCCCTTTTGCGGGGGCAGAAGAGGGCGGGGATCATTTTTGAAACACACTTCTAACTGTGTGAGCATACAGAAGTCTGGATGCAAAACTTGGTTGCCCTATTCTTAAAGTCTCTGAGTACTAGGCGCTCATAAGGACGGACAGACGGACGGACGGACAAACATAGACACGGCTATTGATGCTGATCAAGAATATGTGACCTTATAGGGTCACAAATACAATATACCCTATTTACCCTACGAGTACCGGCTATAAAAATCAAAAATGTTCCTCCGCACGAAATTATAAGCAACAGCTGTTTTTACATGGATGGTGGATAGTGCCAATGTGAACAGGCGCTTCGCATCTTTAAAAAAATACCCAACGTTCCGCGGGGATCGGATCAGTGTGCAGAGCCGTTTAGTCCGTTCCGACAGGACATATATACAATAAACATGTGTTTATCTCCTTATAAATTCATCAAATGAGTAACGAATATAAGATTAATAAATAATAATATCCATATAATCCGTTTTTGGTCGACTGCATTAAACGGTTTTCAACCGTCATTTAATGCTCTCTTCCACCCCACTTGCACTTGTTTTCAGCTATAGGCTTGAAACGCATTTGAAAGTCAAAAATATCGATTTGAAACGAAAAAGTCGATAGTCGTCTATATGTTTAACTATCGATACGTTGATTTTCCCCATTCCTATCATATATCACAATAAATTTATATAATTCAATTCAATACGATACAATACAAAACAAAATGAATCAGGCTTCGTTGAGAACGATTTGCCTAACTTGGAGAGCATCTCTACTGAACAGAAATCCCATACTTTCGAACACCCAGCCGTCTTTTTTGTCAAATATCTTCCTGCGAAATACTAGTTTTTTTAACAAACGTAAGTTTAGTTTTTTGTTAATACATACCTACATACATATGTATCTTCATAGTTTCTAATGTCGTAATGAATTCTATACAAATGTATGTATGTACACAAGTATTTTTTATCCCTATTGTCATTAAATTTTTGGTTTAATATATTCGCAATTATAAATGATCTCGTATGTACATATACAAGCCACCTCTAATTCCTGAAACCACTTCATTCAAATCAAATTATATATTACCCAATACACACAATATACATTATATTGTAAGATTACATAATTCAATAATCCACCGAATCGGTAGGACCCCTATGCTCCAGTTCCTCTGAAATTATATACAATGTTTGAAGAATATTCCTATATATGTAGTTATTTGCAGATGAGATTTACCGGGAAAAACATCGCACTCAGTTATCGAGACCACATGACTAGAATGCTCTATGCATATGTATGTACATATATACATACATGCATATGTATGTACATATATTGCAATGCCATCTTACACTTAAATCAGTTAAGCAGTTAACAACAATTTTTGTATATATAAAAACAGCTGACTACTCCAAAAAAATCTTAGCCGTTCCCAACGAAAGAGCTCTCCAACTATTCCGACCTTTCTCACCCCTTTTCCAAGGTCCTTTTTTATACCCGGTTCTCGAAGAGTAATTCGGGTATGTACATATGTGAATGCTCACACTGTTACAAGTTTATTTCACAATATTGCCCAGCCCACTTCCGCCCCCGCAAAGAGCAAAAATCTGCTGTATCCACAATTTTGATGATAAAAGAAACATAAAAATGCCATTAAGTAGGGAAGGACCGTATCTTTCAGATCACCAAATTGGGATAATCATTATTATATCCAGAATGATGAAATTAATTGTATATATACATAGATGTGGATGACAGATGTAGAAAACTTAGAATTAAAACGAGGAGCTACGTGTGAGACGCATCTTACGCGTCATAACTTTTATACTCATCTGTGAGTGTCTGGGCACACTGCAAGCACGTGGGGAAAATAACCTCTACGCCAGGTAAGTATTGGAGCAAAGCTGTAACAAGTTACATATTACGACGTGGCGATTTCCCCCTTGTAAAGGCGGGTGGCCAAATAATTCCCCTCTACCTAAGGGTAGAGCGGTAACTTAAAACCTCAAAAAAAAAAAAAAAACTTTTATACTCGACACTCAGTGTACCTGTACCATATTGTTTTTATTTTTGAATTTTACATATGACATTTTACATTTTTTTACAAATGTCATCTACATCTACATAACTCACGCCAACACGCTATTTTCGCTAGCCCCCCTCCCCTAGAGCCGCACACTACAGATCCACGTCAGAGGCAAATCCGCGACAGAGGCAGAGACCAGGCCACACACTGCAGAAGCAGATTGTGAATGAGAGAATGTGAAAAAAAACAAAAGCCACTGCAAATTAATTTCTTCAATGTGGAATTTTTAGTTTTCTTTTATCTTCAAAATTGTAGCTTTGTGAGGTCTTCGGGCGGGCTGGGCTAATTTTTTAAATACACTGGTTTCAGTGTGAGCATACAGAAGTCTGAAGGCAACATTTGGTGGCTCTAGCTTTTATTGTCTCTGAGTACTAGGCGCTCATCAGGACGGACAGACAGACATGGGTCGGCTACTGATGCTGATCAAAAATATAAATACATTATAGGGTCGCAAACGTTTCCTTGTGTGCGTTACAAACATCCGTTATTTCCCACAAATACAATATACCCTATTTACTATTCGAGTACCGGGTATAATGAACCTCTCTTTTATAAATATATATATTTTTTTATTCAAAAGAATAGATTCATATTACCTATCAACCAAAAACATTTATTTAAACCACTTGTATTTTTTAGTGCCTGCCGAGGACATTTGGCGAGGAGTAACTGCAGTCAGCAATGCTGGAAAAAAAAGAGGTCGTGGGAAAGGAACTGGAAAAAAAGTAGCGAAGGATCTAAATAAAGGACAAACTATAGGACTTGGGAAAAATAATTGCATATGGCCCGGCTTAAATTCGCCCATAATCCGTGGAAATGAGCTCATATATCAGCAAAAACTAGCTGACAACCTGGACAGAGAAAATGGAATTTTTAAGTTGCGCGATTCATTGAGTAACTTTAGAATGGTGAAGTTAAATTCAATAGATCGTGGATGGTCGGGAAGTAAAATGCCAGGCAGAAGCATTGGCCCCCCCGATACTGTGGGAGAAGAAGAATTCAGTTCATTTGATACCCGGGTACTGGAGAATAAAATTGTTTTTATTATGAAAGGAAATATGGGAAGGAAACGTAGATATTCTGTTTTATCCGTTACTGGTAATGGGAATGGGTTGGCAGGGTTTGCAACAGTCAAAGCCCCAGAAGTTCGAACTGCGCTTCGAAAGTCGAAAAATCGAGCAGGTCAAAAACTAATTAATATTAGTCTTTGTGAAAACAGGACCATATACCATGATTTTTTTACTGGTTTTGGAAAGACTAAGATATATTGTTTCAAAAAACCTGAGGGCCATGGATTAATATGCCATCGTGCAATACAAACTATTTGCAAGGTTATAGGAATAAAAGATATATACGCAAAAATCGAAGGCTCTACAAATCTTCAACACATAGTTAAAGCCTTTATTATTGGTCTAATGCGACAAAAATCGTATCAAAATATTGCCAATGAAACAAATTTAAATATTGTTGAGCAACGAAATGCAAGGAATGGATATACAGAAATTAAAGCTATTGCGCCCATGTCTCAAGTACAAGAAAATAATATGAATGCTGTTGACATTATGCATTTCACACTAGGAAATAAAATTGTACTTAAAAAATCAGCAACGTATCCATTTTATGTCAACTCAAAAGGCCATAAATTATATCAGATTAAGGAAGAACGTTTTCGCAATCAATCTAATGTAAGACTACATCAATTAGTAAATTTCTATGGATAATAGTTTAATTAATGACATAATAAAAAAGAAAACTGTCTTCGGACCCATCCAACAAAACTTTGTGATCTCAATTTATTTAAGATCTTAACGAAAATGTGGATATGCGTGCTTTGGGCTTAACTAAATGTCAACGAGTTAAATATCACAACTATTTGCACTAAAACTAAAACTAATCATGGGGGGGGGGGGAGCTTGTGAGAGATGTTTAAATGAGACGATCACGTAGGGGTTAATTGTATATTGTATTTGTGGGGAATAACGGTTGTATGTATCGCCCAGAAGGAAACGTTTCCGACCCCATAAAGTATATATATGTGGGGGTTTATGTTTATTGTTTATAAGTAAAGGTTAATAAGTGATTAAGTATGGTATAACGGTACAAGAATTAGATATCTGCGTCGTTCGTCGTCCGGTCTCGCACACAACCTTTTACGTCGGAGGTTGGATAGAAACTCCCCTCTCAGCGTTCTCTCGCCGGTCGGTTATCCGCTCTCGCTCTCCGTCGTCTTCTCTTTGCGTTTGCTCTCTTGTTTGGAATTCGCAATGACGCGAATTCGCCCTTGCTCGTTTTGGTGTTTTGTCTAGGGATCGCAATTGGCAAAACCCAGCCCACATATATTCTTGATCAGCATCAATCGCTTAGTCGATTGAGCCATGTCTGTCTTCCTTAATTTGTTGTTCGGCAAATTAAAAAAAAAAAATTGTGATTTTACACTGAAGAGAAGGCGTTGCCACGACCATTTTGTAACATACCATCGTCTCATTAATATGATCTTATTAATATCAAACCACTACATAGAACAATTTTGTTTCGTTTTCAATTTATTAAGTTTGGCCACAACAAGTGGTCAATTTCCCCATAGTGCAATTCGGTTATCAAAGCTTAAGTAAAGTGCCCAGTGCGAGTAATAAAAAACGTGTTTTAACTGTAAACAAATTGCTGACTTATGGAAACAGAAACACAATGGCTGACCTTTGCCAACTTATTATGAAAGCTCTAAACTAAATATAAAGGAAAATAGTGAGATCCCTAAAATTCGTCCTTGACGGACATGCGATGTATCACATGAAAGGTATTTTCTCAAGGATCAGGAATATACATAGATTCATGATATCAAACCACTCAGTTCAAAGGATAATCAATTTTAAAATAAAAGTTACGGAATAACTCTTATTTTCTACTTTTATAATAAAAATAAAAAAACTCTTATAATTGATTTTTATTATAAAAATAATAATTAATTCTTATTTTTTAATTTTAAAAGTATAAACTAAAAATAACTCTTAATTCTGATTTTTATTGAAAAAATAAAAAATAATAATTAAAAATCATTTTTAATATACAAATCGTAAATAGATGTTTTTGGCTGATATAGATAGCCATGACTGAAATATAATTTTCGGTATTATTTATGTTGCTGTAACATATATCCTTCACATTGATTTATTTACTTCAATTTAGCCTTCATAACTGTAATTTGCGGTCCCTGCTGCTAAGTCATTTGATGTGGGGATTCGATCCAGAACATGGTGTCCTAGAGAATAGGAGACAAAATTTGGTGCACGGCGGTGAAAAGTCATACGTTTGCACTTGGAATGGTTTAAGAAAAGTAGGTTATTCGAACATCAAACGCTTAATTCATCAATGTCAAGTTGTGTGACTTGACGGTTACTTCAGGGACGTAGGTATCGAGGGCAGAGTATAATGTTTCGTAAAACATTGACAGTAGGCTCTATATGTGATGAGGACTGAAGAAAGGACCAATCAACTTGCGAGAGATGTAGACAAAGATCGATAAAATTAGTTTTGCGAAAACACTTTATACGACTTTTTGAATGTAAAATGGTGTTAGTATTAGAGACCTCGAAAAATATAGATAAAGTGGGATGATGCGGATCTTCGGGAAAATATATCGGATTGTCTCTTAAAACCGTTGTACGAGAGGCATCGCTGACAAAGATGGGATCTAACAGTCTATCTCTATTATTTGTGACAGAGTTAACTTGAGCAAGCGAGACGTCAGTTACCCCCTCGACGAAATCATGTTGAATTACAGGTAGCAACATGTTTGATTCATCCTGTTGCCAAGATAGAGATGGGATGTTGAAGTCACCCATGAATAGTATCTGATCAGCACAGCCTAAGGCAGAAACTAAAGAACGAATTGCAGAAAGGTGGTTCAAATAAACAACGGCATCAGATCTGGGTGGGATATAAGAACAGGTCAAAAATATATATGCTGTTCCAATACGGATTTTGACTGCAACGAATTCGATACCATGGATGTTGTTGAATGGAAACAGCTCCGACGCAAATGCCGTTTTCACTGCAATAAGAACCCCACCAGCGAATGATGGACGATCCTTTCTATAAGTGGAGAACTTTTGGACGAGAATTTCGTGATCGGAGACAGAGGAGTTAAGCCAGGCTTCAGTTATGGCTCAAAAGAGGCACTGTCCGTATGTATTTTAGACAATTTACCTAAAAGACTGCGTACGTTCTGATTTTGGATGGAGAAATGGTTCCTTAGTTTTTTTAAATCTTAGGAAGAGTAACTCGAGGATTTTGGGTAGAGTCTCTGGCAGAAATTCATGCATAATATTGTGATCTGGCCATGCAGCCGGTTCCAAAGCGTTGGATACAAGAGAATCGGGAAGAAGAATTTTGAAAGATGAGATATGTGTATGTGAGCTTATGTGTAAAATTAAATGTCTAGACGTTGATATGCAA